TAGTTCTTCAGTGTTCAGTGTCACATTATGTCTTAAGAATTAATTATTTTTTTATATACAGTTGAAGTTTATTATTAGCTTAATATAATTATAGGCTAAATTATTAGCCCCCCTTTTATTTAGTATTTTATTTTTTTTATTTTATTTCCCAAATGATGTTTAACTGATCGATGAAATTTTCACAGTGTTGTCTGATATTATTTTTATTGTGGAGAAAGTCTTACTTGTTTTATTTCAGCTAAAATAAAAACAGTTTTAAATTTATTAAAAACCATTTTAAGGTCAAAATTATTAGCCCCTTTACGTTATATATTTTTTGATAGTCTGCAGAACAAACCATCATTATACAATAACTTGTCTAATTACCTAGTATCTATTAAAATATTATTTACTGTTATTCATTCATTCATTCCTTTTCTTGTCGGCTTAGTCCGTTTATAAATGCGGGGTCGCCACAGAGGAATGAACCGCCACCTTATCCAGCACATCCAGCAGAGGATGCTCATCCAGCAGAGGATGCTCTTCCAGCCGCAACCCATCTCTAGGAAATTACTGTCATCATAGCAAAGATAAAATAAATCAGTTATTAGCAATGAGTTATCAAAACTATTATGTTTAGAAATGTGTTGAAAAAAATGTTCTCTCTGCTAAACAGAAATTAGGGGAAAAAATAAACAGGGGAGCTATATATATATAACAGTCCTGTATTACTTCACCCACATAGAGTGACAGGAGATCAAAAAACTCGCTTTACAAATATTGCAGCTGTTGGACAACATAATGTACTTTTGAGGCTTTTTTTATTAGAGAATGAAGTTGTTTAGGTTGCAACTATGCAGTTTTTATATATATATATATATATATATATAACGACAGTGTCTATTTTAAATATTTATAATTTTGGAAACACAACACCATCCACAAGATGGCGACAACGACCGCATAATAAGCCCTTAGAGGAGAAAAACACAATGTCGCTTTGGCTTTTTAACATAATTAAATGTTAGTGTGAGACACAATGGGAAGTCTCTGTAGACTGATTGCATTTCATACCGTTCAGCCTTAAAATCTTGAAATATCAAAAAAATCTCTTGTCTTGTTTTTGTTGTTGTTGTTGTTGTTGTTGTTGTTACCAGAACTTTAATGTTTGATCTCAAAGCAGAATTGACAAATCATGAAATCTCACTATTAGCTTTTTTTTTTTCAAAGAAAGCAAATTAAATGAAAAACAGGCTGATTCATAAATTCGAGCTGTACATTATTCCCCATTCTTAGTCAGAAATATGTCGCCACATGAGTTAAAAACAGCTTTTGGTGCTTTTCTATCAGGTGCAAAGTGTTCCACTGAGCAGACCGGATGTGTGTAGCTCAATAGCCCTGCGGCGGTGTTTTATAATACTGCAGGAATCTCACAGGTCATTTTTATGGCAATCATCCATGCAAATGACACCTTACGTATAACCACAGTTCTTGGGGAGGGGCGAGGATTAAGTGCTGAGATTAATTGGGAGCAATAAAAGATTAACATTTGTGGGCAAGTTCATTAAACCTTCAAAGGGTACTAGCAGTGTTAAGTACTCAAAGATGACGACAGCTGTCTAATATAATAATATTTGACAAATTGGAGGTCAGCCTGAATATCTGCAGAAATCTCAACTGAATCCACCCTCACAGTGCTTGAATGTGTAGAAATATTAATACAGAGCCGATCGTGTTCAATATGAACACAATGCAAAAGCACCAATTTGTATCATTATCAGTTTTCTAAATGAAGTGAGACTTAATGAAACGCTTTGATGAACTGCAGAGTTCTGATGATGGCATGAGGAGGGAAAGCTGAGAAGGCTTCATCTTTATTGTGTTTTCCAATTATTTGCTTAATATAAATATTACCACGGGGAATTAGTATCCCTTGGTTGGCTAACTTTTAATTAGATGTAAGATATTAACACAAATTGCTGAATAAACACTATTCGACATAACATGAGTGGAAGAGTGTCTGTGCAGCAGAGCTGATTTATACTCTCTTACTCTGGCAGAGTTAGTCAAATGTGTGGCTATTCATGCATCAGCACTGTAGATTGAGCAAATAATGTTTTAATCGTTCAATAATTACCCCCCGAGCATCAACCCAAAATGTTGTTTCTCATTATACGGGCCTGTTGAATGCTTGATTCTGACTTGCTGATAAACATTCTAAAAGTGTGATGAACACACAGCTATAAGCACTACTACTTCTTCTTCATCATCATCATTATCTTTTTGTTATTATTTTTTGTTCTTTTTTTTGTTCTTTTTTTCTTCTGTTTCTTTTACTTCATCTTCTTTATTATATTTTTCATCAACATTTTCTTCTCTTTTTTGTTGTTCTTTTTTCTTTTTTACTTCATCTTCTTCATATTGTCATTATCATTTTCTTTTCTTTTTTCGTGTTGTTCAATTTTGTTCTTCCTTTTTTCTTTTTCTTTTACTTCATCTTCATTATCATATTTTCATTATCATTTTCTTCTCTTTTTTGTTGTTCTTCTTTTTGTTCTTGGTCTTTTTTTTTTTCTTTTACTTCATCTTCTTCAGCATCATATTTTCATCATTTTCTTTTCTTCTTTTCTTGTTGTGGTTCTTCTTTTGTCTTCTTTTTTACTTCATCTTCAGCATATTTTTAATTTTCATTTTCTTCTCTTTTTTCTTGTTGTTGTTCTTGTTGTTTTCTTTTTTTCTTCATCATCTTCATCATATTTTTCATTATCATTTTCTTCTCTTTTTTTTGTTGTTGTCCTTTTTGTTCTTCTTTTTTCCTCTTTTTCTTTTTCTTTTGCTTTATCTTCATATTTTCATCATTATTTTCTTCTCTTCTTTTTGTTCTTCTTTTTGTTGTTCTTTTATTATTTGACTTGTTGTTCCTCGTTCTTTTTGTTCTTTTATATATTATTTTACTTTCTTTTACTTCTTTACTTTCTTCTTACTTTTACTATCTTCTTTGCCATCATATTTTCATTATCATTTTCTTCTCTTCTTTTCTTGTTATTGTTCTTCTTTTGTTCTGCTTTTTGTTGTACTTTTATTCTTTTTGACTTTTTGTTTGTGTCTTTTTGTTCTTTTACTTATTTTTCTTTTTCTTCATCTTCTTCATTATCTTCCTCATCATCATCTTCTTCTTACATTTTAAGTAGCAATTTTCATTATTTTCTACTCACAGTCCAAAAAACATGCACTATATTGGAATTGAATAAGCTAAATTGGCCATATTGTATGTGTGTGAATGTAAGAATGTATGGATGTTTCCCAGTGTTGGGTTGTGGCCGGAAGGGCATCTGCTGTGTAAAACATATGCTGGATAAGTTGGCAGTTCATTACGCTGTGGTAAACCCTGATTAATGAAGGGACTAAGCCAAAAAGAAAAGGAATGAATGAATGGATAAGCTCATCTATTTATTTGCCTTATTATCCATTATTATACAATGCCTTGATTTGAATTATTAGCAATAAAATATGTTTTTCTATTAAAAATATTTCCTATAAAAAAACATTTCGCTAACACTTTATAATAACTACACACTATGAAACATTAAGTAATCATTAGCATTTAGTGAATTCATTGTCTGTTAAGCATCAACTCTACATTAATAAACGTTAGTAAGCAGTTTATAACTGCAGCTACAAATGCTGTATTCTTGACTTACAACCACATGTATAATGTGCTTAATAATTGTACTTTCATACTTTGTTAATGATTTATTTTTCATTACTAAATGAAGTATTGCCTTATTTACAAACCATTTGTATTTAAGAGTAGTTGGAGGTTTTTAACATCGTTCAGAATGAGTTAGTAAATGATTTATAGACTATTGAAATTAAGGTTTATACATCTTATTGTTCAGGCATATATTAATGGTTACTATGTATGTTAAAAATGCTATGTTAACTCAACTTCATGCAATTTTGTGACCTAATCTAAAGTGAGGACTATTTATGAAGATTATATATTAAGATATATAAATGTTGATTTCAATAGTTTATTAATCATTTACTTACACATTCTGAATGATCTTAAAAAAACACCAACTATGCTTAAATAACTGGTTTGTAAATAATGCAATACTTCATTTAGTAATAAAAAAACATTAACAAAGTATGAATTATTAAGTACAAAGTACAATTATTAAGCACATTATACATGTGGTTGTACAGCATTTGTAGCTGCAGTTATAAACTGCTTACTAATGTTTAATAATGTAGAGTTAATGCTTAACAGATAATGAATTCACTATTTGCTGATGCTTAATAAATGATTCCTAGTGTGTGTTATTATAAAGTGTTACCATTATTTTGTTACTTTAATTGGCCAACAGTATGTGACTTATTCATAACACCCTGTTAAAGCTAACCCTGCTGTGTTGTTTTCCTCAAAACTGGCTAGCAGTCACTGTTTTTCAAAATAGTTCCATCTTGTAGCCTAGAAGACGTAATAATAACAATATAAGATTTTACGTACATATTTTTACAGATTTTTAAAAAATCCTCCTGTGTTTCCCATCCAAATTTCAACAAACATTTAATTGTCAGGAAGTTGTCTGCCAGCACTGAGGTGAAAACCTCAGAAGCACGCCATGGTTAATCCTGAGCAAATATCTTAAAACTCTGTGTTACATTTTACCCCGTGCTCCCTTACCAGCAATTAAGGCTATTAGCTCAATGAACTGCTCATTTTCTGCTTGTTATTAGTTAATAGTTGGGTTTAGGCATTAAGTCAGGTTCAGTACTTAGAATAAGATCACACTTTAAGTGCTAATAAATAAACAAAATCTTAATAATAAGCAAGTAATACGCCAGTAGTTAATAGTGAAAGTTGTGAATCAAAGTCTGATAAAAACAAAACAAAGTAATGAACTTTTTGAGTACAAAATGCCCGACACCCTGCATGTACTTTATGTTAAAAAAAAATCAGCAGCTCACCATTCATTGCTTATTTTCATTTTGAATCGTTCATTTTTCCCCTTTAGGTCACTACAAGATTTGGCTAAGCAGACAGATTTGCCATACGGCACGGTTCTGGACTCTGCCGTCTATGACCAGGTTCGCAGTAAAGGAATGAACCCTTTCGAACGAGACCCGATGTATTCGCAGATGTGGCGGATGATCAACCGGACAGGAGGAGCCGAAAACAACGTGGAGGAATCAAAAGAAGGCATCCGGAAGGTAGGAGGCTCTAGCCGCTTTGACTACTGCCACCGTTTGTCTAATTACGGTGCAGCAGTTTGTGAAGATAGCGCTAATGTTCTCTGAATAGAGATATCAAAGCAAAAAATGCACTAATGTGGCTTAATGGTGCTTGAGTTATGAGTGATTTAACTCTGAAAATTCCCCCACCGAATTCCCATACTAATTAGGTGCGGGTTAATGCCTTATTTGTTAACCCACCATATTTTATATTCCTCTCTTCAGAGCGTGTTTTCGTTTGGAATTTTAAACGAGCTGCAATTAAAAGTGCTGGTAGGCAAGTGAAGGCAGAGAGAGTCTGTGCTGCCTTCAGATCTAGTGAGAATACTAAAGAGTAAACGGCTGACTGGAGTGTTTTGTTAATGTGATATCATCTCACAGGTGTTTAGTTAAATATTGTATGACAAGGTGACACCTCTGTCATGCCAGAGTCGTCACCCTCCTTCAGCCTCGCTTTCTTTTGCCTGTCTTCCGTTTCATGTGCCTGTCTGCTCGTCTCCATCATGTAGGCTTCACAGCGCCCCCTTGTGATAGACTCCTGGTGCTTCTTCCCAGGTTTTATGACTGTAATGTGATTCATGTTGCAAGCATTTAACAGATGCTTTTACCTGAAGCGATCAACAAAAAGTGCTTGAGCTTTACATGCGATGTAAGTTAGATTATTGGCAACAGATTGCAGCCATACAAAGCCTCAAACTAATAAACAAGGCAACATGGTATATGCAAGTGTTTTTGCAATAATATACTGTATATTCTAGGAAAATTTAAGAAGAAAACTATAAAATCATTTTAGCATTTTCAACTCATTTATCAGATTTTCTAATTAGCACAACTGTACTAATATTAAAAGATTTAATTATTTACGCACCCTCAGGTCATTTCAGTTTTGCTTGGCTAACTTTTTTTTCTTTTTTTTTTTATGTAATAAACAAAAGAAAATATTTTGAAGGATGTTGATTACCAGTGTGTTTTAATTCATTGTCACCCACAAGTGCAACGTAAATGTCTATTCACCTAATATAGTTTTTTCTTAATACTGAAAATTTTGGGCAAACAGGACAATTATTAAGAACAGCTGATCTTATTTCCCAAATACTGTAATTAGAAATTTAATAATAGTAATAATTATATACTCACCCTCAGGTCATTCCAGGGTGAGTATATATCCATAATGTGTTTTAGAGATGCGCGGATGGGCTATTATTTCATCCGCAACCGCATCACAAAACTCATCATCCGTCCGCCATCCATCCGCACTAACATTTTTGACCAAATTTTAAAACCGCACCCGCCCGTCATCTGCTGACTGAGCTCTTTATTTGAATTGCTTATTCCTTTTTATTATTAAATGAATGTTTCTTTATTGATTATTAAAAAAAAGAGAATGACTTTAATGACATGCAGTTAATCCAAACGTGCAAGTCAAATCCAGCATTAATTGACGCTTTGAAGTGACGCTAAACAATACGAGGACATGTCTTTTCACTTGATTCGATTCCTCGGTTGGTCCTTGAGTCTTTTCCTTGCGTCCTTCCCTCGCATCCTATAGGGGTGGAAAGACGAGGAAAGAAAGCAAGGAAAGGAAACGAGGATACACAAATAAGAAATGAGAAGCACACCTATAAAGCTCTCAGAATATCAGCAGTGAACTCCGTCTCCAATTGGCGCACAGGGACAAAAATAAATAAATAGCCTAAATTAAACGCACTGTACTGTACAAATTTTTTTTATTATTATTGTAGCCTAGAAAACGCATTTTGACACATCATTTCAACATTCAGACGAGAGCACCTGGCCTCTAATGCGCCCTGCTGCACTGAAGGAGTGCTCGCTCGCAGCACTTGTTGCTGGAATGCATAGAATTCTCTTGGCAAGGTGCTGTAGTCGTGGGGATGACTGGCCTTGTTTCTCCCAAAAGGAAAGTAGATTTTACTCTGCTGATCCGTCTATACGGAAGTTTGTAGATGAAGACTTCTGTTCATCCAGAATTAGTGTATCCGATTCCTCCTCTCATTCTGTGAAGTCAGTCCTAGGCTTTTTCGTTGGTGCCCCAGCTATGTGTACAAAAACAGTACAACCGCCCACCACCCGCCCGAATTTAATTAAAATATTATTTTTCGTCACGTCATCCGCCCGATTCCGCGGCTGTAACCGCCATACGCGCATCTCTAGTGTGTTTAAAATCTTTTGTGCTCAAAAGAAAAAGGAAACTCATGAGAAATTTGGAACCACTTGAGGGTGAGGAAAGGATTAGGAAATTCATTTTTAGGTGAACTGTCCCTTTAAGGCTCCAACACAATTATAAATTATTGTATTGTGGTGAAGTAAAGCAGAGCAGTATTGTATATTGTTCAGACCAACTATATTCCCCAACGGAGATGATGTTGACTTTTTTTGCACTTTCAGAAAACAGAATAAAAACAATGGTCTTAAAATAAACTATCAGCTGGCATTTGGTAAATAGAGGAACATTGTGTACACTGCAAGAATAAAGTGTTTAAGAACACTCAACAAAGGACACTTATTTTCCCATTTTCACAAAAGGTAGTAATTTCTCTGCTCTCAGTTTTCTTCTAATTTATTACATAAATATAGCTTTGCAGACTGTTTGAAAGGACATGCAAATGCTCTTAATGGAATTTTAATGCAAAATTTTAAAGTTCTGTCATCATAAATTGTCTATCACATTCATTATCAGCCATCTGTAGAACAACTAAAGCAGACATGAAAGCAGGTCATAGCTTTTTCTCTGTTCTTGTTTGTTTGTTTGTTTGTTTGTTTGTTTGTTTGTTTGTTTGTTTGTTTGTTTGTTTGTTTGTTTGTTTGTTTGTTTGTTTGTTTGTTTGTTTGTTTAATTTATTTCTCCGGGACTATTTTTTCCTGATTTAATTTCTTAATTAATTTCATTATTTCTTTAATACTGTTATTAATACTTACTAAGCCTAATATGAATACAACTTAATATAAAGAGAAGTGGTTATGATATGATATAAAATATGGTAAAATAAAAAAATACAGGTAAAATTTTGTAGATATAAGGAGAACTTTAATCAAGTTATGTATTCTATTCTGTATGCTAATGTACTGCAGTGTTTATAATGCATTCACAACCAGTTGTAGACTTCATATTGTATTCAATAAAATTAAACCATTTAACTGGTGTAATAACTTTTTTGTGTGATGAACAGGCTTAATTGAATCACCATAAATATCATCATCATTATTATTATAAGTACAGCCTTTATTTTACCAAGAAAAAGGACATTGAGATTTAAAATCTCTTCTACAAGAGCATCCTGGCCAAGAGTAACAGTACACAAAGCAACATAGGTTTTGTTTTGTCAGCATTTGAAACCAGTTTTGGAGCAAATAAGAACTACATTAAAAGCAAGCTGTAACTGAGAAGAAGCCAGAATGGGTGTGAATGCAGATGTGTATCAACAGTAACTGTATCATCAGCATAATAATAACAGATTGTATTTTTGACATTTTGATCAATATTATAGTAAAAAGAGACCCTAGTACGGATCCCCTTGGTACACCTTTAGCTACATTCAGTAGAGAAAAAAAGCTTTTCTGTTGCACATTGATTTCCGTTTGTTTGTTTGTTTGTTTGTTTGTTTGTTTGTTTGTTTGTTTGTTTGTTTGTTTGTTTGTTTGTTAAAATGAATTGCAATCAAACGCAAAAGACAGAAGATGATTTTTTTCTAGATGAAGTATGCCAGGGAAGAATGTAAGTTGTCAGACCATTCAAACCTTTAAAAACAAATAACAATAACTTGTACTGAATCCTAAATTGGACTGGAAGACAGTGAGGGATAAAACTGGTGAAATGCTAGCAACTTAGAAGGTTAAAAGGTTATGTCTGCATTTTGAACCAGCTTTAGGCATACAATTGAAGAAACTCCTGAATGCAAAGAATTGCAATAGTCTAATCTGGATATAACAAAAACATTAAAGATGGTTTCCAAATCCTTAGAAGAGAGAAAAGGCTTCAGTTTAGCAAGGTTCCTTAATTGAAAGAAACCATTTCTGACTATAGAATTTATTTGCTTGTCAAACTATAACTCTTTATCAAAAAAAATTTTAAGACTCTTTGAGTAGTTGTGGATTTGAAAGATATCTGTTAAACCATCCAATAACATGTACAGATAATCCAATACTTGTTGTGCATCAGCAAAGTATGATCAACTGTAAAACAGGTTCCCCTTCGGGGGGAACTTCAGCACTATAAGTGGATTTGATTGTAAAATCCACGCATTGGGGAGGTTCGGTTCAGAAGCTACTCGTCTGAAAGAGTATTGAACGGGCCAATTAAGAATGAATTGGCAGCGCAAGCCTGCGCAGGTGAGCGGCATAAGCAATCAACTGAGTATATAAGCTCACCTGGCGCCAGCAGACGCTATCCTTTTCGCTTCAGAGACTTTCTGATCGAGTCGATGAGGGTTCCTCCTGCTGTGACCAGCGATTCCGAGCGAACGAGAGCATTCTCCCGGTCCAGAGTGTGTACACGCAGTGGCAGACGGTCGAGCTGGGTTTCTCCCTTGCCTGGCGTTCTTTGGGTCCGGTCCTCCAGAGCGGTGCGTATAAAGTTGCAAACTTCACAGAAAGAGCAACACAGTCGTGCAGCACGTCCTTATCAGGACGGCGCTCCGACTGTGCGTTTCTGGATGCGGTGGTTTCCTGTCCTCGGATGATGGGCGCGGGCACTGCGTTACATGTCTGGGGGTCCAGCATGTTAATGCGCTGCTCGCGGGCAGTTCATGTCGTCATTGCGATGCCATGACTGTTGCGCAAGATCGTGGTTAGCCTTTGCAAAAGGGTGAACCACCCCAGTTGTCCCCTGCTCTGCAGCGGGCACTCGGGCAGATCTGAGGGTTTCAGCGAGAGATAATCCGTCGCCCACGGGCCCGCGGACCTCCCGCTCCTCTAAGCGCTCCATCCAAGCTTCGGGCGGGGGAAGCGATCCGTCTAACAGA